AGCAGACTGCACTGAGCACAGGGCCTGACATGGGGCTCGATCCCACAACCCATGAGATTATGACTTGAGCCGAAACCAAGAGTTGGATACTTAACCAACTGAGCCACCCAGGCACCCCACCACTTTCATCGCCTTTATTCAACATAGTACTGGAAGCCCTGGTCACAGCAATTAAGCAAGAAAAAACAGTCCACATTAGGAAGAAGTAAAACTGTCACTATTTGCAGATGACATGATACTATATATAGAAAACCCTACAGACTCCATAAAAAAACTATTAGAACTAATGAATGAATTCAGAAAAGTTGCAGGATACAAAATCACTATATAGAAGTCTGTCACATTTTTGTACACTAATGACAAACCGCCAAAAAGAGAAATTAAGAAAACAATTCCATTTACAATTGCATCAAAAAGAATAAAATGCCTAGGAATAAATCTAACCAAGGACGTAAAAGTCCTGCAAACTGAAAACTATAAAGATACTGGTGAAGGAAACTGAAGAGGACACAAATAAATGGAAAGATATTCCATGCTCATGGGTTGGAAGAATTAACATTAAGATGTCCATACTAAACCAAAGCAATCTATAGATTCAATGCATTACCTATCAAAATTCCCATGACATTTTTCACAGAACCACACCAAATAATTTTAAAACTTATATGGAACTACAAAAGACCCTGAATGGCCAAACCAATCTTGAGAAAGAAGAATAAACAAGGCGGTGTCAAACTCCTTGACTTCAAACTGTACTACAGAGCTGTAATAATCAAAACAATATGGTATTGGCATAAAAACAGACACATAGAGCAGTGGAAAAGAACAGTGAGTCCACAAATAAACCCATACATATATGGCCAATTACTTTACTACAAAGGAGCCAAGAATATACATTGCGGAAAGGATAGTCTCTTCAATAATGGTGTTGAGAAAGCTGGACAGTCACTTTCAAAAGAATAAAACTACATATACCATATACAAAATGAATTCAAAATAGATTAAAGACTTGAACAAATTAGAACTCAAAATAGATGAAAGACTTGAAACCATAATAATTCTAGAAGAAAACATAGATGGTAAGTTCTTTGACATTGGTCTTGGCATTGAATTTTTGGATTTGACTCCAAAAGCAAAAATAAGCAAATGGGACTACACCTATCTAAAAAGCTTCTACATAGCAAAAGAAACTATCTACAAAATGAAAAAGGAACCTACTGAATAGAAGATTTGCAAATCATACATCCAATAAGGGGTTAATAGCCAAAATATATAAAGAACTTATACAACTTGAGAGCAAAAACAAAAACAAAAAACCAAACAATCCAAATAAAAATGGTCAGAGGATCTAAACAGGTATTTTTCCAAAGAAGACATAGAGGTGACCAACAGGCACATAAAAAAATGTTAAACATCACAAATTATAAGAGAATCAAATCAAAACCACAACGACCACTTCACACTGGCCAGAATGGCAATTATTAATAAGATTAAAAAAATGACAAGAGTTGGAGAGGATGTGGAGAAAAGGGAATCCTCCTACACTACTAGTGGAAATGTAAATTGATACAGCTAACATGGAAAACAGTACAGAGGTTACTAAAAAAATTAAAACTAGCACTACCATATGATCCAGCAATTCCACCTCTGGGTATTCATCCAAAGAAAACAAAAATGCTAATTCAAAAAGATATATGCAACTCCTCTTCTGTAATCAAAACCATCACCATATGCCATCACATTTTGGCTTACAGGTCTGAACCCAATCCACACATCAGACTGGCTTCCATGTACTTGCATTATTATTACATAACTATCTATTCCTGGTCTCAGTAGGAAGTAAAGATATAGCCAAAGTCACCTAAAAACCTTTCAGCTTATCCTCATCTCAGACTTACACTGGATCTTTAAATGTATTAATTTTAAAGAATACTGATACAACTGATTTTATATATTTAAAGAACTCTGAGCTTCTCAGCAAAAAACCTCCTGATGTTAGCACAATAATTAAAACATTTTACTGACTGGGATGCCTGGGTGGCTCAGTGGGTTGAGCATCTGACTCTTGTTTTTAGCTCCTGTCAGTCTCAGTCTTGAGCCCCCTGTCGGGCTCGGTGCTCAGTGGGGAGTCTGCTTGGGATTCTCTCTCCCTCTCCCAATCCCCCCCCCCCGCCCCCACTGCTCACGTGCTTGTGCTCTCACTCTTTCTCTCTCTAGGATAAATAAATAAATCTTAAAACAACACCACCACCACCAACAACATTATACTGACTTCAAAAACCTAGAAAACAATTTTCCTTTAAGGCTCCATTTAGTCCTAACCACAAAATAATTTGTATTAATGGGATCTACATTGCAACAATGGTTTGAGATCAAATAAAATCAAAAGGCTCTACTCTTGCTTGAAGCACCTCAATTAACATGCCACAAAAGTTCCTACTACAAATTTAAAGAGACGGTTTTGGGAATTTTATGACAAGTTCACATTATCCCCATTGATGGGAATAAATTCCTTTCCAGACTACCCACTGAAAACCCAGTGCCATGAATTCACTCTAACCAGTTTCGTACTGGAGTCCTCTCTACCAGTCATTCCTCATTAGGGTTCCTTTTACAACATGCTTGGGGTGGGGGGTGGGGAAGGAAGTCAATCAATGAAACATTCAATAATCACCAACTTCCTGCTGACTTTAAATCAAGATTAGCTAAACCTTTCCCATCTACTAACCCACAGCCATCTATTCTCTTCCACTACAATTACTATAATTTCAGCTGATTTTCCAGCTTTTACTTCATAATATTTTAATTCCATTTACTATTGAATTTTTTCTAACAGTATTCTAAGTAAATGTCTCCATACATTCTGAGGTATAATTTAGAGATACACTTTGTTTATCATCTTACCCATCCTGCCAGTGAACCATGAGCACATGGAAGATTATACATTAATGATTCAGTACAAAGTAACTATAATAATTCAAGTAGAAAAGCTTAAGACAAGATCAAAACTCCAGGGAGGGAAATTATATCATTGTATGTATTATATATTATATAAACTTCTGCCTTTTAAATACCAAGACCTCCCAGACAGAAAGCTTAAAAAACCGACTTGGCTGATTAGCCACAAGCAATAAGGGAATTTTTTTCCTTTGATAACAGAACATAAGCCTACAACAAAATTCTGCTTCTTCTTTTATAATATAGAAGTTACAGTATAGTTCCCACTCACCCTTAGTCAGAGTTTTCTCTTTATTATTTAAAGTCAGAAAAAGGAGGTCATTTTCCAAACACCTTATTTCTAAAATGCTATTATTATTCGTCATTGAAATCCTAGTGCAAAATCCTAGAGTATGTGTTAACCTCTATAAGATCCGTTTTCTATTTCTTCCTATAAAATATTTCTAACCTCTATCTTCCCACTTCACTTCCAGCATTACTTGGGTCTTAACTGTGAAGGAAAGAAAATTCAAATATCTGACTGAAATAATTGCTTGCTCTTCCAGGCCTAATTCTGGTTAGGTCATTATTCATCTGCCCACCAGTAACTGAGTGAATGCCTACTAGAGGCACAGAGCTGTCCCAAGTGCTGAGGTGCAATTAAAGAAACATAGAAGATATGACCTTCCTTTCAAGAATCTTATAAGCAATCTATTTGGGGATAAAAATCAAAGACAAAATAAAGAGACAACAACTGTAAAATGATATAAAAACAAAAATTCAACAGACTGGCAGCCCTGAGGAAGGAAGGAAGAAAGAAAGAAAAAAGGGACATATTTAGCGCTAGCTTCAGATTCAACTAAATGTACTGGATGCTTACTTCATGCCAGGAACTCTAATTAGTGTTTTCACATATACTACTCATTTAATTCATCTTAAAATAACAATAGAGCAAAAGCATGGTCTTGAAAAAAGCTGAGTAAAGGGGATGATAAAAAGATCTTACTAGAAGAGCCATGTGGAGAAGCAGTTTAAATAAAGTCAGACAAGTGTTAATCTCTCCCTATTACACTTTAACAGTTAATATCTATAGTTATATGGGTGTAAAAGAAGAGTATAAAAGGCAAATTGGTGAATATTTTTCTTTTTAAAAAAATTCTAATTGGGAAAAAAGTACACCCAGGTGTGGTGATAGATGTTAACTATACTTATTATGGTAATCATTTCACAATATATACAAATACCAAATCATTATGTTGTACAGCTAAAACTCATATAATGCTATGTGTCAATCAGATCTCAAAAAAATAAAGAAATTGCTGAAGGTTGAATCCTAACATCCAGAGTTCAAAATGTGATCTTATTGGGAACTAGGGTCATTGCATATGTAATTAGTTAAAATGAGATCATTAGGGTGGACTCTTAATCCAATATGACTCATGTCCTTATCCATAGAGGAAACTTGGACACAGAGAAGGACACAGGGAAAAATTTCTGATGAGGGAAATTTCACTGGGAAGAAAAATGAAAAACACAGCTAAAATGAGATCTGTGAATTATCTGTGGATGTCCTTGTTATCACAGGCAAATAAAAAGTGGAAATGTGTTGCTTTATGCCTCTCTCAAGTCTTACATGTTTAGCTTACATCTAAGATGGATCATTTATCAATGTATGTCTTATTTCCCAAGTTCCTAGAGGTTGTGTCTTATCTACCTGTATGTTGGTTACAACACTTGGAAATGTGGAACAGCAGTACACTCTGAAGTAAGGAGATTCAAGGGTTCAAGTCTCAGCTCTGCAAGTTTATTCCAGCTATTTACCTTGGACAAATTTATAAAACTAGGAGTCTCAGTATCCTTGTCTAATAAAACTCTCTAGGAGTTCTTATGAAGAATAAAGGATATGCAATTAAAAACATTTAGCATAGAACCCAGCATCTAATTAGGTGCTAAATATATATTAGTTCCATTTTTGTCTTTGCATTCTGCACACAATAGAACACAATTATGAAGTTGAGAGTTCCAGTCATTTAGAGAATTTCCAAATAAAGGTATACACTTACCTTGGTTTTCAGCTGGTCTCAGATTTGCTAAAGCAACAATCTGATGCCCAGCAGCAATGCACTGCATCATATTGTAACAGCTATCCTTCCCACCACTAAAAAAGAAATAAAAAGATAAATATCAGGTTACTGACCATTATTAAACATACAATAATTAGATATCAAAATATATTTATTCAACTTTTCCAAATACTTGAGGGACTGCTATACAGTTAAAATACAAAAAAACCACATGTAATTTCCATAGCATAAGCAAATTGAGCAAATGAATCTGAATGCCTGAGGTTGCTACTCATAAAAAGCTTATGAAATTATGTGCCATTTTAACAAAGAGCATTCTAAACAAAATATGGTAACTCTTCGGTTTATAAGAGTGCCTTTCCTTTATATACAAAGTGCTTTGAAAATTAAAAAAATGATTTCGTTTTTACATTATATATATTCCTTAGATGAAATTCTCTATGGAAAAGTAGAAAAAAATTTATTCTGTTCTACTACTGTAAGAAATCTACTATAAGAAATCTAACAAATGGCCACCATCACCAACGAAAGGCTCAAATTAAAGATTTGAGATCCAATCTAATGACAAAGTTTGATGTACTTGGTGGGTTCACATTCTGTAGAGACAGAAAACAAATTGCTGAAGTTAAATATCAGTACAATCAGTACGTTAGCCATCACTGTATATATGATGGCAGGATAAGGCTTGAGTCTTAGAGCGAATACACAGATTGAAAGGAACTTCTAAATTCTAGGACCAAATCCCCTGAGGGCAGGGGCAAATCACTTCGTCAAGACAAGTAGTTTCATCTATAACAAGGTTGAATGGCAACCTTTATTTTGATTTAAAATCTATTGTTTCTCACTATACATATTTCTTCCTTCATTATCATTGCCTCTCTTTTTTCCCCTCCTTTTCCATTCTTTCTAATCTTTGCCCAAAATCTGCAAGTGTACCTCCAGGCAATAGTCAGATATACTTAACAGCCCAAGAAACTTTTAAAAAGAGACTGCTTTTCCTAGAAGCTGGACCTTTTGCTTTGTATTTTAGTTCCCAACATTTATCTGCCTCTACTACATCCAATCAGTAACTACCATTCCAGAACTTCTCATGGGGAGATCTCAAGAAGCATAATGAAATTATACATCATGCTCCCTTTCCTCAGACTCTGATTGATAGTCCCCTATTACATCTTCCACAACTTCCCCTATTGAACTTCACTGCTCTATTTTCTCAGGACAAAATGATCTCATTCTTTAGAATATTTAGAATATTAAAGATTAACAGGTATACAACCACAATTCTAATTCTTCAGAATATTAAAGATTAAAGGGTATACATCCACAATCAGAACTTAGCTTTATAATTCATTTGAAAATATGCTAAAATTTCAAACATGGTTTTAAAATAGTATTTCCCAGGGGCGCCTGGGTGACTCAGTTGGTTACGTGTCTGCCTCTGGCTCAGGTCATGATCCCAAGGTCTTGGAATCAAGCCCTGCATGGGGCTCCCTGCTGAGCAGGGAGTCTGCTTCTCCCTCTGCCTGCCACTCCCCTTGCTCGTGCTTTCTCTCTCTCTCTCTCAAATAAATAAATAAAATTTAAAAAAAACAAAATAACCCACAGTATTTCCCAAACTGTGTTTTATGGAACACTAGTGTCCAACAAAGACTGTAAGAACAAAAGGTCTGGGAAATGCTGAGTAACTTACTCACCTCTCAGAACATTACGAAGTACATAAGCACGTTAGGTGAGAAATCCTATAAAAGACTAGAATTTTAGTTCCGAACTCTGGTATACTAAGCAAAGTTACTCAATGTACACGCTTCATTATAAAACTGGAGAATGGTTTAGCTAATTCTCAGTATGTCATTCAACTGTGAAACTGAGTAATTCAATCTTTTGTGTATAAGGAGAATAATGTTCTTTATGTTCTAAAGATATGTGAGAATCTTGATTACACTTATTCCTTAGAGCACACAAACATATTCCATCTCTCATTTTAGTACACATACACACACACACACACAAGATATATTACAAATAGATTCACTGTATTTAAGTTTAAATTCATATATATTCAAATGTATATTCATATAAATGTATGCATTCATATTCATATATATAAATTATGTTATATATTCATACTTATAGCATTCATTCTCCTAACATTTATACAGATCTTACAATTTAGCAAGAATTTTCCAACATTGCCATTTTTAAGTAATTTGCTTTTTTATCACAAGAGTAATATATGCACATTACTGAATATTTACTGTAATGGATTACAGCAGTCTTCTATCCTTCCTTCCAAGATCTGAATCTTCAGTTGGTGTAACTTACTTCAGTGGTTTAACTTCTGGCAAATTGCATATGATGTGAATTACTCATTTCCTGGACTACTTTTTATTCTTGTCTATTTGATCAAATGAAGACCACAGTGGTCAGAGATTAATCACTTACTTTACAGAAGAAAATTTGCTGAATAACAATAATTATTCTGAGGTTATAGAGTCCTAAAAATGGCATCGAAGTAAAATAAATTGGAATATTCCAGTCACTACAGAAGAGATTAGAATGTTACATCAAGAGTTCTTAATAGGTCACTATTGTTAGCCTGTATCAATTAACTAGGACATTGAACAAAAAAGTTTATGAAATCTTCAATGGGCTTACAAAAGAAAACATGGTTGTGGTGCATCTCATATATTCTATACAGGTCCAAATCTCATCAAATTTTCAAGTACTGCAGTCTAAATTCCCTTTTAAATGGTACTACGTTTACTTTTGCTTCAGTTTACAGATTGCATATGGAAACATTTAAACTGGCCAGTCACGTTATCTTAGGACTTACTTCAGACACCTAAATATGATGAGCGACTATAGATTTCAAACTTCTTTTGGAATAGACTATGTTACCATAGGTCAATCTAAAAGCAACTGGATTTAGGACAAAACTGATTAAAATTCCATTTTAATCCCGAGGGAAGAGACCCTTTTCCTGTACTTGAGCCCCAAGGTAAAACACACCTTTGTCATAAGCTGGTGAGGGAGAGGTGGCCTCCTTAAGTGGGAGGGGCCTGGAGCTATTAACAGCCTCGGGGGATAAAGGCGGACCCGAAGGACCGAGCAGAAAGACTGAAGGAGCTACAGAAGAGGACTAACTGAAGCCGTGGCTCTCAAACGTCACTGTCCATTACACTTTTTAAGAATGCGACCCTGGGCCGTGTCAGAATAATGAAACCAGTGCTCTGGCAGGAGAAACCAGACATGGGTGGGTTTTAAAGTTCCGCCGGTGAATCCGAGTTTGAGGGCCAGAAAATCAGAGAGGCGGGGACAGGGAGATAGGAGCAGCGCCGAGTCCAGCGCCGCGGGACACGGAGGGCAATGGCCTGAAAACTCCGCCTCTTCCTGTGGCCGGGAGGAGCCGCTGGACTCCCCGACACGCGGTTCCCGCACAAACACTCTCTTTACCGCGCAGCCGAAAGCGGTAGCTGCAGCTCCCACCAGTCAGCAGGAAAGGACGAGAGGTTGGCAGGGGAGGAGGAAGGCCGCTCCCGCGCCGCGTTACCTGATCAGAGCAGCGACCCTCATGCTGGGCGCAGTGCGCGTGCGTGCGGCGGGCGACGGCGGGAGCCGGGAAGTTGCGGCCGTAGCCGCCGCCGCCGCCGCCGCCGCCCGCCGTGACGCGCCCCGGGGCCTCGCGCGGGTGTTCGCCTCGCCGCCTGTCATTGGCCCGGGGCGGCGACCCTTGCGACTGCCTGCCGGACGCCTGGCCGGGGAGGATGCGCCACATCGGCGCCTTGTCCCTGTGACAGGGACCTCCTGGCCCGGAAAAGAATGATGTTTAGGCACGTCCTGACCACCTAAGTGAGGGCACTGAAGCTGCTCTGGGAAGGGCAGGGTCGGCGTCGCCGAGCCCAAGTGCGGTGGCCGTGGATTTGTTTCGGTAGGAGAATATTCAAAGTCATTTCTGCCGCAAATTGAAACACTTTGAACGTGCAGAGGGAGAGGAAGTTTGCCTTTACTTCCTTAGCCACCTGCAAAAAAACTAACTGCACCCTTTAGTGTTTTTTTTACCTTATATCTCCTTTGTATTATGAATCTAAGTCTGGAACTAGCCCCCTGACCTCGAAGCTCCCTGGGGTTTGGCCCTTTGCGTAGTACAGAAGCTGAGAAGCCGGCGAAAGAGAGAAAAGAAAGAAGAAAATCTAGCTTCCAAATTCATTCACTAAGTATTTATTGAATGCCTCTCATGTACCAGGCACTGATTTAGGCTCTTTGGGATACATCCATGAGTAAAACGAGGATCACTATCCTGGAGTTTATATAGGGTGGGTAGAGCAGACAATATACAGGTTAAAAAAATTATATAGTATGTTAAAAAGTGATAAGTGCTATGAAAAAAAAAAATAGAGATTGAGAGAATTCAGGAAGTAGGGAGGATTCGGAGTAGGCCGAAGGGCAAGTTGCAGAATTAAAGGGCAAGATAGGACTTACTGGGAAGGTGAGAGTTGAGGCAACTTAAAAGAGGACAGTTAGCTGTGTATAACTAGGGGTGTGCTCCAGGCAGGAAGAAAAGCTAGAGCTTTTAAGAACACATCTATTAGGAGGCTAATGCAGCAATGAGGAGAGAAATGACGGATCCTGGAACCAGGATGGTACTAGTAAATTTGGTGAGAAGTAGGAGGAGTCCAGGTCTATTTTCAAGGTAGAGTCAACTGAAATGGATGGATTTGATATGGGATGTGAAAGAAAGAAAACCATGAAGGATGATACCAAAGTCATGAATTAAATAATATATGTAAGAAATTTAGAATTATGCCCAGTATATAACAGTCATTCAATTTAATTATGTTATAATGTTCTTATTAACTCCAGTACTGTTCGTATGAGTGACTACAGCAGTGACAGTCAGCAGTGACTTCAGCATCTAAAATGATGCATTTTTAAAATTATGCATTTGTGGATATTTACCAAATGAGTCAAGTATTTAAAGAGTTTGTAGTCTAGTTGCGGACATAAGACAAATCTATTAAACAGATATTCACAATACAAAAGGGCATATTTTGGAAGTAACAAGTTATGTAATGCATATGGCAAGAACCCCATGAGTTGAACCCAAGAGGGTAAATGCTAGAATGAGGGCAGGATTTCAAAGATGGGCAGAAATGAGCAGGAGGAACAATTGGACCTTACAAAAAAAGGTAACAAGACAGGAGGAGTTCAGAGCATGTTACCGCAAAATATGCTGCTTTGACATATTGATTATTTTACGTTAAAGGCACTTGAGAAACAGTAGATGAAGGAAGGGCACTCTGACCCTTTTTATTCCTGAAAGGAGGGAGTAAAACTCCCCTACAGAAGGTCCCCTCCCTGTACCAGGGATAAAGAAGATATTCTTATTGCCAGAGAAAGGGAATTGAGCAATAGAGGTGATAATGACTTAAACATTCATTCCTAAGGGGTTGTAGACTTTAGTTATCATACCCTTCTTAGTCTGGGGTTATTGGGTGTATCCATTCACAGGTACCATTGGGCAAGGGAATACCAGGAGGCACCCAAGTAGATCACCTGGGCTCCATAAGTATTCTTCCTTGTCTCTACTATGTGAAAGCAGCCCCATCTCTTCTCGCTAATAAGGGTCAATTATCCTTGGTTGCTGGCCCCTGGGTGCAAAGGGTTAAAAGTGTCCTACCACTAAATATCTTATATTTCAATAGATCCCCACTGTTGTGCCCCCTGGTAAGAAAGAAAACCTTGAAGACTAGGACTTCAAACTCTGCTCAGCCCAGTTGTGGGAGGTAAAGCATAATGTTTCCCCCGGTCATTGGGATTGACTGTAAATGAGATCATTCTTGCTTTCACCCCTTGGTTCCCTGATCCATATATTTTTCCTATTGGAAACATAGTTCCATACAGAGATCTCTGATTTAGTGCCTATACTATATCCTGAAGGATGGTGCACCATCATTGTTGAGTATTGTCTTTGAACTGCTGACTTAGCTGTTAACTTGAGTAGGCTTTTCCAGTACTCTGTGAGGACAGTTTCATGTAAATAGTACAGTATATGATACAGCAATTAGATCTCATGGATACGGGCCCACTCCTGTACTTCATTCTCTGTGAAATGGGTATATTTATCAATGCTGTGCTAGATGGGATCTGTTAGTATCCCTTCTGTGTTCAATCATGGTCTGGGAGCAGCCCGGGGAGGCATTGTATGCTATGAACTCCACAGTAGATCCAAAAGTATGGCAGTTGAAAGGTGTCAGTCATCTGTGCTTCCCACAGCAGGTGTTTTTGAAAGGATATCTGAGTGGGTCAGCTCCATGGCTGCCACACTGATACAAAATGACTTTTACAGCATCACATGATGAGGAACAGGAATGTTTACACTACTTGTTTCACATTGTGTCCTGTTGGAGTAAGAAATGTAGAATGAAGAGTTCATTCAAACTTAGAATAGTATTTGAAGGAGAGTCAATCTGAATTTGTAAAAATCTAAATAATAAACAACAGTATTTTTTTATTTTTTTTATTTTATTATGTTATGTTAATCACCATACATTACATCATTAGTTTTTGATGTAGTGTTCCATGATTCATTGTTTGCGTATAACACCCAGTGCTCCATTCAGTACGTGCCCTCCTTAATACACATCACCAGGCTAACCCATCCCCCCACCCACCTCCTCTCTAGAACCCTCAGTTTGTTTCTCAGAGTCCATAGTCTCTCATGGTTCGTCTCCCCCTCCGATTTCCCCCCTTTCATTTTTTCCTTCCTACTATCTTCTTTTTTTAACATAAAATGTATTATTTCTTTCAGAGGTACAGGTCTGTGATTCAACAGTCTTACACAATTCACAGCACTCACCATAGCACATACCCTCCCCAATGTCTATCACCCAGCCACCCCATCCCTCCCACCCCCGACCACTCCAGCAACCCTCAGTTTGTTTCCTGAGATTAAGAATTCCTCATATCAGTGAGATCATATGATACATGTATTTCTCTGATTGACTTATTTCGCTCAGCATAATACCCTCCAGTTTTAGCCACGTCGTTGCAAATGGCAAGATTTCATTCCTTTTGATGGCTGCATAATATTCCATTGTATATATATACCACCTCTTCTTTATCCATTCATCTGTCGATGGACATCTTGGCTCTTTCCATAGTTTGGCTATTGTGGACATTGCTGCTATAAACATTGGGGTGCACGTACCCCTTCGGATCACTACATTTGTATCTTTGGGGTAAATACCCAGTAGTGCAATTGCTGGGTCGTAGGGTAGCTCTATTTTCAACTTTTTGAGGACCCTCCATACTGTTTTCCAGAGTGGCTGCACCAGCTTGCATTCCCACCAACAGTGTAGGAGGGTTCCCCTTTCTCTGCATCCCTGCCAACATCTGTCATTTCCTGACTTGTTAATTTTAGCCATTCTGACTAAACAACAGTATTTTAAAGAAATGCTTTACTTTACATCAAAACAAATATATTCATCCTGAACATAGCAAACTAATATTGAATCCTGATAAGTGTTTTTAAGAGGACTCATAAGTTAATAGGGAAAACTTATTTTTAATTAGTAATATCCATTTGCCTATAAGTAATTTGCTCAAATTTCAAAGAAAAGTTGGCTTAGCCAGACCTCTATATGCATAGTGTTCTAAATGGATAGTGTAAAAGTTACTGCAGCCCAGTCAATGTCAACAAGTTAATAGATTTTATTATCAGTATAAAGTAATTTCTTTTATAGTATACTGAAATGACTTGTCCAAGATTCACATTTTAAAGGCATTGTGAGCTCACTTCCTGCAGTCTCAAGCTCTTACATATGAATGACTATGGATTAATTTGTAGAGCCAACAAAATAGGTGAATAGAAAATCAAACTCAATGATTTCAATGCCTTGACAGTTTATTTAAGAGAAACTCTCCATAGCCAAACACTGTTGCTAGTAATAAAAAGTTGCAAGCTGTCACTGAATTCTGCTTCCTTGGCAGCACATCACAGTGATACACTGATTGATAAAGACTCAGATAATCAAATAGAAAATTCTATAGGTAGTTATCTCAGAGACATTGAGAGGATTTATGTCTTAAGCCAGTACATCTCCCTGAAGTCATGCCATATATAGGAAGCCATTGGAAGATTGCTTGGTAAGAATTTTAGAAAAAAAGGAATTAAGTAATTATTTGCAGCATAAATTTAAGGGCGTCATTATATGACTATCTGATCCATCTATATTAATAATGGCAACTTATAAGGGCCAGGTACTCTCCTAAGTGTTTTATGTATAGTGACTCATTTAAATATCACAGCAAACTGATCAAGTAGGATACATCGTTATTCCCTTTTACAGATGAGGAAACTGAGTAGAAAGCTGTTTAATAAACCTGCCTATCTTAGTCAGTTTGGGCTGCTTTAAAAAAAATACCATAACCCAGTGGCTTAAACAACAGACGTTTATTTCTTACGGTTCTGGAGGCTGGGAAGTCCAATATCAGAATACCAGCATGGTCAAGTTTTGGTGAGAGCTCTCTTCCTGGTTTGCAGACTGCTACATCCTTACAGGGTGGAGAGAGTCTCTTCTTATAAGTCCTAATCCCATTCATGACGGTCCAGTGTCATGACCTAATTACCTCCTAAA